AAGAATATCACGAGAAAGCACTTGCCATCGCGATAGAAATTGGCGACAGACGAGAAGAAGGAAACCTCATGGGGAACCTCGGAGCTGTGTTTTTTTCTCTTGGCAAACATCAGAAGGCTAAAGAATATCACGAGAAAGCACTTGCCATCGCGATAGAAATCGGCGACAGAAAAAAAGAAGGAACAATTATAGGGAACCTTGGAACTATGTTTCAATACCCTGGCCAATATCAGAAGGCTAAAGAATATCACGAGAAAGCGCTTGCCATTGCGATAGAAATTGGTGATAGAGAAGGAGAAGAAAGTACATACTGGAAACTCGGAGCTGTGTTTCAATCCCTTAGCGAATATAAGAAAGCCAAAGAATATTACGAGAAAGCACTTGCCATCGCAATAGAAATTGGCGACATACGAGGAGAAGGAAATTTTATGTTGAGCCTCGGAGGTGTGTTTAATTCCCTCGGCAAATATCAGAAGGCTAAAGAATATTACGAGAAAGCACTTGCCATCGCAAAACAAACTGACAGCAGACGAAGTGAAGGTTCGACATACTTGGGTCTTGGAAATGTTTATTTTCAGCTTAAAAACAATCGGCAAGCTAAAGAACATTTGGATAAAGCAGTCGACGTCAGTTTAGCAATTGGTGACAGAAACCTACAAGCCTGCGCTACTACAGGTTTGGCAGCTGTCTTTGTTTCTGTGAATGACGATCAGAAGGCAAAAGAACATGGTGATAAGGCGCTTATCATCAGCAGAACATGTGGCCATAGAATGTTAGAAGCAGAAACTTACCTAAACCTTGGAGATCTGTGTTATATTCTTGGTGAAAGCCGCAAGTCAGAAGATTACTTAAAGAAAGCTTGTTCCATAAGCAGCCAACTTGGAGATAAAATGACTGAGTTTAATAGCCTTCTAAGTATTACAAGGTTAAAGGTATCGCAGTCGGAGCTTGTGGAGGCAAACGAATGTCTTCTTCAGTGTATCGGAAAGTATGAACAAATCAGAAGTTCTCTGAAAGGAAACAGCGAATTTGAAATGTCTCTCTTAGAAAAACACGGTACTTTTCCCTTCAAGTTACTCACCAACTTGCTCTGCAGTACTGGAAAATTTCGAGATGCTCTCTATGCTGAGGAGCTGGGACGAGCAAGAGTCCTCGCAGGATTCATGGTAGACAAGTACTCCCTGGAAAGCCACTTCACAGCAGATCCACAATCATGGTTTGGGATTGAAAACATCGTGAAAAGAGAAAGAAACTGTGTTTTTTTGTATGTTTCGTATACAGAGCTGCAAGTTCTTCTCTGGGTATTAAAAGGAAATGGAGACATTTGCTTTCGAGTAACAGATCAGGTGGATATAGACACTCTCATTGTTGAGCAAGTGTGCGATGTGGGAGGAGTTTTCAAAAAGAGCGCCGCCGGCTTTGGCGTTTTACCCGCAGCGAACTGCGAAGATCGATCTTTGGATGACAACGTGACGACATCTCTTCATGAAGAGAGCCGAGCAAATTCGCGAGGTGACAAAACTAAAGATACCGAAAGAACTCTTCAACTGTGCTACAAATGGATCGTGGCACCTGTGACAGATTTAATCACTGAGCCTGAAATCATCATTGTGCCGGATCGATTCTTGTACCGAGTCCCATTTGCTGCCTTGCGTGATGAATCAGCAGGAAAGTATTTATCGGAGAAGTACAGAATACGCATCGTCCCTTCTCTGACGACT